AACATCTTTCTTGAATAAGGGTTGAGCCGACTGGAACAGTGGTTGGTGGAAGATGAAGCTTAATTTATACAGTAGAATATGTTGATAAATGAGAAGAAACCGAATGGAAAAACATGTTATATATATTTTTAGCAACTGCTCCATTAATGATGGTAATCCTGCAAATCAAGGAAGATGGAGATGGAATACCTCATGTTGTATTCTTACACTTCATTATTTCTACAAGCTTTTAAGCATTGCAGCGCAATGGTGTTGCGCCAACTGAAGTTAAAACATTTGTTGGGCTTTTTATCCAAATGCTATTTTACATGGAAAATTTTACAAAAGGGTATTATATTTAAAAATCTAATTAATGAACTTAATCAAATTATTGGTAAAATTTTTTGATCAAAATGAAGATCAGATCTTTTGAAAAAGTAATTATTAATTAATTTTAAATTATTTTTAGTTATATAATCTAATTGATACCGGACACGATATGCCTACCATAAAACTCAAAAACTGAACGGGAGCTACATTCAGCTCCAGATAAAATGCCGGCCAAGAAGATGAACTCCCAAAACGGAGAATCAAATTTTAGAACAATAAATAGACTTCTTAGAACTCAAAACAACCTTCGGGTTATTATTCAAAAATACCAAAAAAGAACCAGTCCCATGTACCAGCCTTGGAAGCCTATTTATAAGCATCTTACGCTACATGAAATTAAATGGCATACAAAACAAGCTTATTACATCATAACCCAAAAAAAGGCAACAAACAAAACAGAGGAAAACAAATAAAACTAAACTCCATCTTTAGCACCAAGCTCCTGTGTCATTCAGCCGGGGTAACAGAATCATAAACTTCATAGTGTGGAGTCAACTTAGCGACGTTAAAAACAACATATATGTTGTAGTTCCCTGGCAAATCTATTTGGTACGTGGTATCATTAATCTTCTTAATAATGCATGCGGAAAGGTCCATCCGCTCGTGGTTTTAATTTGCTAAGAGGAAAGCGCTCTTTCCTTACTCTAAAATCCACACTAAATCTCGTTCATTGAATATAATTTTCTTCCTATGCTTGTTTGTTTGAATATGATAAAGCTCATTATGTTTAATTGGCAATTTCTTTCTGCACTTGCTGATGTAGTTTTTGAAGTTCAATACCTCTCTGTTTGCCATTTGGACTTAAAGAGGAAGGTGGCACCATAGGAACTAAATCCAAAGGTGTCATAGGGTTTCGGCAATACACAATTTCAAATGGGCTACGCTTAGTAGAGTGATTCATGGAATGGTTGAAGGAAAATTTTACTTGTGCGAGAATAAGATCCCACTGTTTGAGATTTTTACCTACAAAACATCTCAACAAGTTCCTTTAACTCCGATTAACAACCTCAGTTTGCCCGTCAGTTTGCGGATGTGCAATAGAACTGGATTGAAGATGAGTTCCTAATTTGCCCTATAAAGATTTTCAAAAATAGCTCATGATCAATTTAACGTCTCGATCGGAAGTGATAGTTTTAGGGATTCCATGCAAACGAACTATTTCATATAGGGAATTACCTTTGAAAGATCACCTGAATCAATAACTAATTAATCGAAAATATCTAAAAAGTGTTGAAATAATAAACTGAAGTAATGCACGAAAAGTTAAAATAGAAATATACATTGATACTGAATTGAAATGAACATCTAAATAAGCTATTGAAATATAAATAAACATCTCTTAGCAAATATCAGAATGGCCCTCAGGCCACAATTTTTAATATATACCAAATAACATAATCCCTTATCACCGCCTTCTCACTAGCTATCATCAAAATCATTTCTTAGTAACTATCAGAATATCCCTCAGGCTCCAGAATTTTCAACACATATAACAAATAACATAATTCTTTCACTTCCAACATAATCCCTTATTTTCTTGCAATTGAAATATTTCGAACATAGATATTGAAAACAACACATTATATAATATTAAAGTGATTATAGTGTTATTGTATAATTCTACTCATAGATACAAGAGACAACATTACATCTCTAATATATGCTAAAAATATTGGACTACTTTTTTTCTAATGTCATGCAATAGTTGAAATTAAACATGAGAGAATAGCTCTGATTCTCTAAAATACAAAACTCACCGCTCTGATACAGAGTCATTTTCTTATTTAGACAACAGATCTGAGCCCCATATTGATTCATATAGTCCATATCCAAAATGACATCAAGTTTATAAATACACAATAAAATCATACTAAATCTTCAAATCCTATCAGAAAATTTCAAATCGTAAAAACAAATTCTACTAGCTACCATGCAATCTCCTGTAGGTAATTAAAACCATAGTAGACAAAGAAACATGCAATGACACAAAAGGAAAATTGAGGAATCAAAATATTGAAAAATGACCGGCACCAAAACCGAATAAAATACAATAATGAAACACAAAAATGTATATATGTTCGTTAGTGCCAATCTAGGTGCCATACTTGGCCTCTAAAGCCAGGGGCGGAACCAGCCCTAATTTTCAGGGGAGGCAAACTTATAAGGCATATATGTCAGGGGTCCAAGAGGGCAGCATCCTCTGGCGGGGTTAATGAATGAAGAGGGATAAAATACCTAAAAAATCATATAAACATTTTTTTTTTTTTTGGGGGGGGGGGGGGGGGTAATGAAACACAAAAATGTATATATGTTCGTTAGTGCCAATCTAGGTGCCATACTTGGCCTCTAGAGCCAGGGGCGGAACCAGCCCTAATTTTCAGGGAGGCAAACTTATAAGGCATATATGTCAGGGGTCCAAGAGGGCAGCATCCTCTGGCGGGGTTAATGAATGAAGAGGGATAAAATACCTAAAAAATCATATAAACATTTTTTTTTTTTTTGGGGGGGGGGGGGGGGAAATTGGGGGGGGGGGGCAATTATCCCCCCTTACCCCAATTTTAAAACAAGCTCGTAGGCACTAAGTCAGAGCACTTATAATTAGGCCCCATGGTCGATGCTTGGGCACTTCGATTCTAACTCTTTGTTAAAATTTTTGAAATCTCATGGGTGCTAAATCTAGGTGCCTAGACATTTTTGTGCTTCATGTGCTACACTTATTTTTTAGATGGCTTTGGATTTGCTCCATTGTTGCTCCATCGTTGTGTTATTCATTAAATTTCTTCATTTTCATGCATCAATAAATATATTTGAATTAATATAGTGAATTTACTAAAATTAAGTTAATAATACGAAAATGCAAAAATCTAGCTGGATAATAAGTATTAAAGTCACATATACCAATATATATGACCTGAAAGAAGTGTACTATGAAAATTGGTCCTTAGATAACTGTTATAAAAGCTATAAAATAGGATTGGATACCTGTGCTTGAATCAAGGGAGTAAAAAAAAAGGTAAATAAGTACCATGTAATGCACTTAAGGCAATGGCTCATTGGTTGAGGTAAATCCTCACCAGGATAACTAATTTTTAGGTGCACAATTTATATAAATTTACAATTAATTTGCTTAATTGCCCAAAAAAAATTAATGTAATCTTAATATGTCACATTAGCAAGCAAAATAATATTCTTAATCTTATTTTACTTTATTTCAATTACTTTAAGTATTATAAAATTTCAAGATCAGTTATTTTACTACATCTGTAGACTATTAAAATCTGAAGTTTTATTTGAATATATTAATTAATAGAATATTAAAATTTTAAGATGATTTTCTTATACTTGCTTTACCTTTTCAAATTCATTTAAAATTTTAGCCTATAATGAAATTCATATTTAAAAATTGAAAATTTAAAGTAAATAAGAAAATCTAAATTTTGAAAAATATAATTTTACTAAATTCATTTCCGAAATTGAGTGACTAGGGACAGCTAATTTGTACTCACCTGATGGGTGGGAACTTGATGAATTCCTTTCTAATTTTATTTGCATTTTCTGTAGTCTCTAGATCTGTTTGATTAGAGAAGAAAATCTGTTCCATTTGATTTTTTTTTTTTTTTTTAATTTCTCACAAAAAAAACTGCTCCTATTCTTCCTAAAATTTGCGAATCTGCCCTTGTCTTGCCAAAAATAGGCCATGTTTTTGGTTTCCTCTTAAACTTTCATACAACCCAAATTTAACATTAAGTCATTCTTCATTTGATAATTAGATTGATAATGCTAAGACTTTTTAAAAGTGAAGCTGCCTTTTTTCCAATACTGTCAGATGATGCTCTCACAACTTTGAGAATCTTAGGCAACTTATACTCCAAATAAGAAAAAGAAAAGATCAAATGTTCTTTGTGTTGTATGAGACAACAATTAGTCTTATCTTAAGTACCTAATTTAATAGTTTTTGTGGTGGTGGATACATTCTTAATTTTTCATTGTCTTCTAATGATTGTGATCATCTTCAGCTTAAAATTGAGCTTTTAAATAATTACATGAAAGTTAATTATGTTGAAATAGTATTAAATTTATGGGGTACGAGAAATTTGGATAAGATCTTGTTTTAGCTAGTAAAGTTGAAGGAATTTTTCCCAAGAAGAGGACTTTTGACAAAGTTAGATCACCAGCCACTCCTAGTCCTGTTGATGTTTGAGCCCTTTCAAGAGCATGAAATAATTGTGCTTTGACTTTTTATATTCAAATTTCTTAGAAAACATATTACATACAATTTGAATCTCTGTTATAAGAGGAAAAAATAAAAATAAAGAAGAAAGAAGAAAAATCCTCAAAGATGGATATGAAAGAGAGAAAGATTACGTATTTACTCGTATACATTGTTTTAGTTTTTTCCTCCATCGCATGTTTGCTTCACGCAAGCTGCTAGACTCTGAAGGGGTTAGGCTTCCCTCCTGCCGTGGCTTTAAAGACTCATCAATACAAAAGAAGAAACCGAAAACATAATAAAGAAAACGAAGCCCCACGCATACAGTAACCCCAACACGACCCACCACCAATAGGACAAAACTCCATAAAAAAAATAATCGCATAGCCTTCTCCTCCCTTTCTTCCCCTCTCTTCTGTCATCTCTGTCTCAGCACTGAGCGGAGAATCAGGTATAAACATAGAGGAGATAAGAGACAAAAAAAAAAAAAAAGAAAAAGAAAACAGTGAAGCGCGCGGGGAAGGTGGTATGAGTACTGGAAGTACGAGCAGCAGCGGAGGGGCCGGAGGAAGCGGCGGGGGTTCCGGAGTTGGTGGCGGAGGCGGGCCGTGCGGTGCGTGCAAGTTTCTGCGAAGAAAGTGCGTGAGCGGGTGTATTTTCGCTCCCTACTTTGACTCCGATCAAGGCGCGGCGCAGTTCGCCGCCGTGCACAAAGTGTTCGGTGCGAGCAACGTCTCGAAGCTACTGCTTCACATCCCCGCGCACAAGCGCCTCGATGCGGTGGTCACCATCTGTTTCGAGGCCCAGTCGCGCTTACGTGACCCCGTCTACGGCTGCGTTGCGCACATCTTCGCCCTTCAACAGCAGGTCAGTACGTTCTCAGCCAATAGAGTTTGTGTTCAGGTTTATACATATCTGATTAATGGGAAAAGATATTTGTGGTATGATTCGTGACCTTAATTTATAATTATGTGATGTATATATGAAAAAAAATTATGATAATATCTCACTTTCATTCATATAATATCAATTATGACTCTTAATCTGCGAATATAAATCTTTTGATAAAATTCATTGCGAAAATTGCATGGAGAAATTTAGTGAGAAACTAAAATTTTTTTGGACACAATCAATATTCTAAATTATTATTAAAGAGTGTTGGCTCGTAAATCTTTTAGTATGGTAGATTTCTGTTGCATCTAATATGTTCCGTAAGCTTTTTTGTTCAACGTGTCAGTCAGTGGGGGTAGAAAGTATTGCTTTAATGAATTTTCTCTGTTGGAGAGAAGTACTTATCAAGTGCAGAAACATTCAGGTTGTGAGCCTCCAGGCAGAGTTGTCCTACTTGCAGGCCCACCTTGCAACACTAGAGCTGCCCACACCGCCTCCTCTACCGCCACCGACTCTCCCACAATCACAAGCCTTTTCAATGCCGGAGCTCCTCTCCTCATCGAACCTTCCTTCTCATTCCAGCCTTGACCTGTCGTGGCTCTTCGACCCCCAATTGCAAATGCAGCATCCACAACAGCAGAACCGGCCAGTGGAGCTCCGGCAGCCGCAGCAGCTCGCACGTGTTGCTGGGAGACAAGTGGCAGAGAGCTCAGGCAGCAGTCAAGGAGGAGGAGGAGACCTGCAGGCTTTAGCCAGAGAACTAATCGAACGACACCGTTCATCGTCTTCCTCCGACTCGCCATTGTTGCCCAAGCAACCTTAGAGTCTTCTGAGTAAATCGATCACTACCCATCTATGGGACTAATAGTAGTAAAGGTGTAGTAGTTAACTAATTAACTTTTCATTGCCAAAAAGCTCTTTTTTTTTCTTTTTTACTTTTATCTCATGATATCATGAGTTGCAAGAATAAAGGTGTTACTGTTTTACCATTGCCTTTTCACTTTGATCCCATATTTGGAAGGAGATAGAGAGAAACATATATATAGATGGGAAAGGCAAGAGAAAAAAAGCTTGGGCAAGAGTACCCGCGGCTTGTTCATTGTTCAGCACTGCAGTGGCCGGGTCGCTGTCTGAGAAGTACTTGGAATTTTTTTTCATATAAGATTGGGGTAATAATGGTTATAGATAACAGTAATGATTTCCCTTTGAAGAAGGAAAAGGGTTTTGTTTGACCAGGATCATGTTTATTTGAGTTGCTACTCCCACCTTAAAATCAGGATTTATGTTCATCCAGCTGCTGGGAAGATAACGGCAAGTAGGGCCATCGAGTGATCATTCAATTTGCTGGTCTTTTCTGTGATTTCCTACGCTGCATTTGTTTGAAAAAAAACAAAAAAAGTGGGAAAGAAAAACTCATTGGTCTTCTTGCAAGCTGTTGCTTCTAAGTTTTATTAGTTATTTGAATATCAATATATTAAAATCTAAATAGTAATGATATGATAACTATAAGCTTAAATATGCATGTGATGCATGACAAACAGTATCGTCACGATTTTTTTTTTAATATTTTCATTTAATTTTACTCTATTTTAAATAATTCATATATATTACAAGCTATTCTTAGCTACTTTTTTATATTTGGTTTAAAGATTTTCTATTTATTTTATGCATTTTAAATATATTTGTGTTGTAAATATGTTTTATTGTATGATATGTATAAAGGTCAATTGTATTTTAGGCAAATTTTTTGAACGCTAATTCAATACGGAAGGTATAATTTTGTATTAAGATTAGTGAATGAGTGAAGAAATATGAATGATTTGAGATTCTTAGGCTTATTTTGGGACCACTTAAATCACTATTTTTTTTTTCTATTTTTAAGAGATTTTTTTACTAAAAATTAACTTTAAAAAAGCCGTCCCAAACAAAATCTTAATGTATTTCTCGTATTCATTTGATCAGTTTTTTACGGAAACTTATGTGCTCCATCCTCACATCTCCATCAAATATATTTTCCTCTTTATCCTCTTTCAATTATCTTAAATGGTGAAGAATAAAGGCAAGTTTAATGTATGAAAATCTTAAATGGATGGTTGTATAAAGATTGAGATTATATTGATCTCTCACTATAAAAAAAATATTGATTTCTGGCGGAAAAAAATCAGTTAGAATTTTTGGTGCATTTTTTGGCGAATTTCCTATGAAATCTTTCCGGCGGATTTTCCGTCACATAGCCGACGCATTTTTCATTGATACTTCCGGCAGATTTTACAACAAATTTTCCGACAGATTTCCGATAGAATTTTAAATTTATGGAAAATGATTATCATAAATATTTAAAAATATTCATTAATAATTACTTCTAGTTAATATTCATTGCTAAAAAATAAATTAAATTAATTAACTTAAATATTACTAAACTAAATTAATTTAAAAACTTTAAAAATCTATTGTTAAATTAAATTAAATATAATAATAATTTTGATCTTAAAAAAACCTCAGCTTATAAATATATTTATTATTTTAAATAAAATATAAATTAAATTAAAACAGCTAAGCTTTTAAAAATTAATTTAATTAATTTATATTTTATTAAGCTTATTATATATATATATATATATATATATTACTTTCTAAAGCTAAGCTTTTATTAATTATTGAAGAAAGCTAAGCTTTTATTAACGGAGATCTCCCGTTAATGAAACATATTTATCTTATTTTTTTGGTTTTAAATGGATGTTGATTTTGACTTTTTTCTTATTTTCTCTTTAAAATATTCATTAAGGTTTCATTTGTAACAAATTTTTTATTACTTTCTAATGCATCTTTTTAATATAAAAAGTTATAGTTCAAAAAATTTTAGTATAAAAATACTATTTTATAAAGCTTAAAAAAAACTCTCCCAAACAAATCCTAAATTTCACCACCATTCTCTCCCTCTTGGCTTTTTCTGATGATAATATTTACTTGCTTTCTTCAATAATTCTTTCAATATAGTGAAAGGTCTCTGTAAGTAAATCTTATTTCAAATATAAAAATAGAAAATAGAAAAAGCAGGAAAAATGGAAATAAAAAAATAACAAATAAAGTCCAAAGAACAATTTTGTTTTGCTAAGATCCCCATCACATTACAAATTTTCTTAATAATCTAATACATTTTTTAGAATTTAATGATCCTAATTACGTATAATCTTCTAAATTTATATTGTAGAGCATAATATTAAGAATAAAATGAGTATGTACTGAATCCCTCCTAATCTTTCTTCATCTGCTCTCCCCCTTAATTATCTTGATTTTATTTAGTATTAAAGCCTAAGGATTGTCATTTGCTACTGCATGCTCTTGATCTTTATATACCCTAATCATGATCCCTTATAATATATATAATTGTGATTGTATTTTATTATTTATTCTCATACATCATTATTTATGCAATCATTGTGAATTCTACTATCAAATACTTGTAATACGACCGTTGTATAGTGCCATCATTATGACATTCTTCCCCTCCAAACATATGTGCCACTATCCTTTACATACACATTGTTCAATTCATGCTCGCTTTATCAGATTCATCAGCCATACCTAGGGCGGAACCAATCCTAATTTTCATGGGGGACAAACTTATAAGACATATATGTCGGGGGTTCAAGGGAGCAGCGACCCCTGGCGGGATTCGACCTGGGATTCAATGATGAATTCTCTTTACTATTTGATGGGGGCAATTACTTAAAGAATATAGTATTTTAAAAATTTTGGTGGGGGGGCTGGGGGGGTGGGCAATTGCCCCCTGACCACAAGGTGGTTCTTCTCCTACCCATACCATGAGCGCCCTTTTGTATCACAGGAACACCCATGCTCCATCCTCTTCCTACCTAATAAATTTCTCATTTATCATCTTTTGTGTATTTTGCCCTATGTCTTGTAGCTGTATTACGCCGCTTGACCACTTGTCACACTAACAACCGTCACCCTATTGTGCACCGTCCTCCCACCTATGTATCGCAGATGCTCATCATTTGCATGCTCTTAATTCCTGAGACTTGAAACCATAAAATGATCTATTTTTGCTTCATGCAAATTGATATTATTAATCTGCATTAATCATTATCCAGTCATGTGGAGATGAAGGAGAGATGAAGGAGAAAATAAATCTAAAATATGAAAGCTTTATAAATTAAATTAGCAGTTATATATCATGACATCGATATATTAAATACATTAAAGTGTGCTAAATGTTTAACCCTCATTGAGATAATTGGCAAACACAACAAACAACTAGCAGATATATAAATAGAAGTAACCTTCAAAGAAACATTGTTATAGTTATATGGACATATATCTTAGGTTTCATAATAATTTTTGTTATAATGTTTATTTGGGCTATGATTAGTCCGTGAGTGATTGGAAAAATCATTATTTACAAGTTCTAGATGATGCAAGTGACAATGCATAATATTATCTTTTTGGATTAGATGTTAACACCGATGTTATAAGTATGATTATGACAATCCACTCTTCCAAATGCATTATGCAAACAATATAATGAGTATACTATTTGCATCATGTCACATTCTTTGTTTGCGCCATATATAATATGACAATTCACCATACATCAATCATTAATAACATTACAATTTACTTAAATATATATTCTGTCTATAAATGCCAATAGCTTCATTGATCTAAAATGAAAAACTCTTGAAAACATTTAGTAGGGCTGAAGATGAAGGTATACCACTACAGGAAAACCCGTCATTATCGGCGGACTAAATCCGCCGGAACACATAGATAATCCGACGGAACTATAAGTTTCCGGCACACGTTTTGGCGGAAATTCATACGCCGATTTTGGTCGCGTCGATAAATTTTTTCCGACGAATCTAATGCACCGGAAAACTTTACGGCACACTTCCCGACGCAATACCGGCGCAAAACATCGGATTAATGCCGACGACTTCCAACCGATAAATTCCGGCGCCATATGACCGGCGGACAAAACGCCGTAAGGTCGCTGTAGACAACCAACGATTTTGTTTGCGGGACAAAGTTGTCACCAGAAATAAGCGGCGGAAATCGCACCGAAACTTGCGCCGGAAGTTGCCGACGGAAGGAAGACGTCGATACGTCCGATACAATTCGTTGTATCGTTCGTTCCGGTGGATTTCCGTCGTACAACCATTATATTCAGCCTTGATGCTTAACATCTTCACAGCAACAGATAATTCTGAGTGAGTCGTGTACCCTTTATAGATTGGTTGTTGGGCAGCATGCAATAAATCATAAAAATTTTGTGCCTCCGTATTCGGTAACTCTTGTGTATTTTGTTCAGTTTGTATTCCAGTTTCATTATGAACTAATTCCTCAAGATTTGGTCGGATGTTTTCAGTCTCAGCGACATTACTACTTGTAGAAGAACCGCATTGATAATCAAATTGTGGCTCATACTCACCATGAGAAGTCCAATACCAATACCGTGGCATGAATCCTCTGCGATACAGATCAACAGCTACATCATCTGGTTCTAGGTGCACTAGATTTTTGTGTTTTGAGCATTAACATCGAAACTTTCCTTCTGATATAAAGCTGGGTAGCTGTTTCGCTTGCTGAATGAAAAAGTTCACCCCATTGATGAATTCATCTGTTAATGTCTTCCGACCTTGAGATAATCGATTATACATCCAACTTCTTTGGTTTCTAATATCCATAACCTATATATAAGAGAAAAAAATAATGGATTTATATATATAGATCTAAAAAGACATTAATATATGTTCATATGACTAAACCATCTAAGGAGACTTTCTTTAATCTTATCTTCCA